GAGGCCAATCCAGAGGCGTGCAGGTGCAGACCGGTGTCTGAGGTGGGTAAGGGCTGGACCAGAGCCCGGCTGGGGCGCGGGAAATGAGCCTGTCCCTGCGCTGTGCGGCCGCTCAGCGAATCTTCAGCGCGACCCCTGGCAGTGGGTGTGGTCTTGAGGCCGAGAGCCCAACTCTACCTAATACCCATGTGCCCATCCATACCCCAGCCCTTCCCGGTTGCTTTGGGCCACCAGATGCTCCTGAACAGTGGGCTGCGATATCTGCCAATTTATCGTTATTAATATTAATATTGGTGTTTTGTGACAGGGTCTCGTTGTGTAGCCCAGGCTGGCCTGGAACTCACGGTGATCCTCTTGCCTCAGCCTCAGTGCTGGGATTACAGGAGTGTGCCACCATGCCCAGCTACAAGTCGGAGTTTGGGAGACAAAGAGATCTTTGTTACATTCAACCAAGGAGATTTGGGGTCTGTTACGACTTTTTATTTATTTATTTTGGTCTTTTTGAGACAGGGTCTCCCTATGCAGTGCAGGCTGGCCTTGAACTCACTTTGTAGCCCAGGCTGGTCTCGAACTTCCAAGGACCCTCCTGCCTCAGCTTCCCAAGGAATGCACCACCATACCGACCTTGTTCTGACTTGTTTAAATGTCCCCCTTTAAAGCCTCCTATAGCCATAGCTGGGGCTTTTTCAGAGGTGGCTGGATCTAGAGTGTGATGCTGGGATTAAGGGTCTGAGATGACTAAATCAGTCCTTTGCTTGGTTAGGTGCGGCCCTAATCCGGATAGCCTAGATAAACTATAAAAAGGGACAGAAAGAGGCTAAGGTTGCTTGCTGGTTGCCTTGTTTAATACCTTCTCCCCAACGTGGACTGTGTTTCCTCTGTGATGCCATGTGCTGTGCCACCCTGCCTTGGAGCCAGGCGACTGGGAACTGAAACCTCCACAAACTGAGCTAAATAAACCTTTCCTCCCTTAACTTGTGGGTGTCACATATTTTGTCTTGGCAAGAAGAAAAGTAAGACGGTCATTTTGCTGAGTTAGCAAATGCTAACTGTCCCACACACAGTGCAGAGGCCACCTCAGTTGCCTGGGCTTATCCAGGTCCCCATGGGCAGAACTGGGACTAGACGGTAGCCTGCTTGCTTTCTTTCTTGTCTTTTTGAGACAGGGTCTCGCTATGCGGTTCAGGCTGGCCTTGAGCTCACTTTGTAGCCCAGGCTGGCCTCGAACTTGCAGTGATCCTCCTGCCTCAGCTTCCTGAGGATTGGGATTAGAGGTGTGCGCCACCACACCCAGCTTAGATAGTAGTTTTCACAAACTCCACTTCCTTTTCTGCCTGACAAGGATTCCCAGGTGCTGTCACTCCACTGACATTTCAAGAGTGCTCAGCAGGGCTGCGGCTGCCTGGGCAGCTGGAGGGCTGCCAGTCTGGCAAGAAATTCTGACATTCTAGATGGCACCAGGCAGTGTCCATGGTGCCAGACCACAGCAGCTCACCCTTGCTGGGCAGAGGCGGGGGGGTTTCCTTCCAGGCAGGAAGTTGGGTGTGGCAAATCGCTGCTGGCGAAGGCCTGCTGTGCAGTGCACTTCCGGGCCCTGCCCTGGTACCAGTCCTTGGCCTTGGGCCACTGCCTTCCTTCTTAGTGGCAGGCGCACAGGTGTATTTCTTTTTCCCACACTCACTCTGCACAGCACTTCTCTTTAGAGCACTTCGGTCCTCCCCACTTTTCTTACCTTCAATGCCTTTTGTTTTGTCTTTTTGAGACAGGGTCTCACTACGCAGTTCAGGCTGGCCTTGAGCTCACTTTGTAGCCCCAGCTGGCCTCGAACTCGCAACGATCCTCCTGCCTCAGCCTCCCGAGTGCTGCTCAATGCCTTTAATAAATGTAAAACTTTTTTTTTTTTTGAGACAGGGTCTCAACCACGTAGTCCAGGCTGGCCTTGAACTGTGGTAATCCTCCTGCTTCCGGCTTCTGAGTGCTGGGATGACAGGTGTGCACCACCACGCCAGGTCTAAACTTTTTTTTTTTTTTTTTTTGCTTGGCCCCCTTCCTTGGAGGTCTTGGCCACAAGGTCTGGCCAGCCTGTCCCCCATCACCTGGAAAGGCTGGGTGCCTGTCACCTGAAGGCTCACTTGTCGCTCAGGCTCTGCCACTGGGCGGACTCTCACGAGAAGGGAACAGGTGAGCTTCCCAAACAGAAGGGCTGGGGATTTAGCTCAGCAGCAAAGCGCCTGCCTGGCAAGCGCAAGGTCATGAGTTTGATTCCTGCTACCAGAAGAAAAGACAAAAACAAAACCAAAACCAAACGGAAGATTGTAGGGCACCTTTCAGAGTATGGCTCTGAGCTGACAGCATCTGCACCCAGAACTCGCCTGCCTGGGCGAGGAACCCTTTCCTCCAGCTAAAGTGGACACAACTGCGCCAAGTGGGACATCAGGTACAGAGCTGTGCTCCCAGCGTGCACGCTGGTGTCTTAGGGGAGGGAGGGCCTCCCCTTTCCCTTGCCTCTTCTAGGGCCGGGGGCCAGAGGAGCTGCTGGAATTGGAGCTTCGAGAGCAGCTGGATGCTGAAGAGGAGCCTGACCCGAGGCTGCGCCGCGCCCCTTCCGGGCCTCGGTCCTGCTGCGCCCATCTAGCGCCCGTCCTGGCGGCCTTCTGTCTTCAGAGTGCCCTTGGGCTTCTCATCAGAGCGTCCTTGCATTTGGCAGAAGCAGTCTCAGGGCTGGGCCTTTTATTTTCTTTGACTCCTAACAAGCTCTTCTTTTCCACCCGGGATACATCAATTCTCCCCTTCTTCCGAGGTGGCGGCCCCGCTTATCAGAAATCTCATTTCTAACTTGCGTCTGAGAACTGATCCCCAATCAACGGCAGTTTATGGCCCAGAGCAGCATCTTTCCACCTCTGCCACCTCCCGCTCTCCTTGGCCACTGAGGCTGGTGCCACCGAGTGCCAACTTCTAAGTAACAGACACAGGCCAGGCGTGGGGGCGCACGCTGTGATCCCAGCACTCGAGGCCGAGTTGGGAGGATTACTACCAGGTTGATGCCAGCCTGGTCTGCATAGTGAGTTCAAGGCCAGTGAGACCCTGTCTTAGAAAATCAATCTATCTATCAAACAAACAAATGACACAGAAAGGCGGGAATGTAGCTCAGTGGTAGAGCAGCTGTCTAGTATGGTGAGGCCCTGGATTGATCCCCAGCATGGCAAAAAAAGAAAGCGAAAACACACCACTACCACAAAAAGCCCAGAAACTCTCTGAGGCGTAGTGATAGTAGCTAGGCATGGTGGCATATACCTGAATCCCAGCTATTCCAGGGGGCTGAGGCAGGAAGATCACCTGAGCACAGAAGTTCAAGACTGGTCTTGTAAGAACACAGTGAGATACTAACTAAAAAAAAAAGTAAGATCATATTTATTTTTTTAAGTTTTAACTTTTTTGTTTTGTTTGAGACAGGTTCTCAATATATTATCCAGGTTGGCTTTGAACTCACTATGTTGCCCAGGCTGGCCTCAACCTCTTGTTGATCCTCCTGCCTCAGCCTCCCGAGTGCTGGGATCATAGGCATGTGCTACCATGCCTGGAATGGATTTGGAATTTAGTCCAGTCTACACATAGGTTTCGAGAATTTGAAAACCAAGAACAGAGCTACAGTGTAACACCAGGTGAAATACAGCTTTTCCTTAGAAATACAGCACCATTCTGAGTCTTACCAAGGGTAACAAACACCAACCTGTTTGCCAAATAAGTTTACTTCTAGCAGATTTGACTTGATTTACTTGAATGTAAAAAGAAAAGTGGTGGACTACATAGGAAAAAAAGTTTGTTTTTTTAAGATAGGGTCTTGTTATGTAGTGCAGGCTGACCTGGAACTCATGGTGATCCTCCTGCCTCAGCCTCCTGAGTGCTGCGGGTATAGGTGTGCATTACTATGCCTGGTGGAAAATTTTTTATCTAAGAATTTTGTTTGACAAAATAAACTTTTGTTGTCAGGAGGTTGAGGGAGGAGTGCCAAGAGTTCAAGGCCAGCCTGGAAACATAGTGACACCCTCATCTCAAAAAATGAAAAATGCAGAGCCAGGGACGCAGCTCAGCAGCACAAGTGCCTGCCTGGCAAGCTCAAGGTCCTGAGTTCAATACCTGATACCGGGAAAAAAAAAAAAAGAAAAGAAACAAAAGGCTAAGGTGGAACTCAGTAGTAGAGCACTTGCTTAACATGTGTGAGGCCCTGGGTTTAATTCCTAGTCCCACAAAATATATGTAAATAACATGATTCCTCTTGCAAACTGGGTTATTCCAGAATATGAAAGCAGAGCAGGACAAAACTGATGATTTATGGATCACAGAAGGTTTGAGAAAGTTGTAAAGGGGCCAAACAAGTTGCAAAAGGTTTATGAAAGATTAATCTTAAAAAAAAAAAAAATTAATCTTGTGAAAAGAATTTTGTATATAATCAACATGGCTAAAATTTAGAAGTGAATTACAAGATTTTCAAAAATTGAATACTGAGATACTGGTATAAAACCAAAATCTAGTTGGATGTAGTGGCGGCACATGCCTGTCATCCCAGCACTTGGGAGGCTGAGGCAGGAGCATTGCCTCGAGTTCGAGGCCAGCCTGGGCTACACAGCGAGACTGAACCAGAATCCAGCATTGTTCTCATTTCTCACCCCGGCTCTCATTCTTCTCCCCAACACAGCAAACTGGGCTCAAATCTCTGCTCTGCCACTTCTTGCCCCGGTGACATTCAGCATGTGAGTCACTCTGCTTTCCAGAGCCTCCATTTCCCTGTGACGTGTTTTTGAGCAGCAGAGGGCTGGGCATGGTGGTGCACACCTGGGAGGCCGAGGCAGGAGGATTGCAAGTTTGAGCCTAAATTGGGCAACTTAGCAAGTGTGAGAGAGGTACTTAACACGGTGCTCAGCCCTGTGGGCGGCTACACCCGAAGGCTGGCTCTCTCCTAGGTGCGAGCCGGGGCTATCAAAGGTCAGGGAGTCAGTGAACAGCTCCGCACTGAGACGGTGCCGATGTTTATTAACAGAAGGGACACACAGGGCCGCGCACCGCAGGGGTGGGACACGTCAGGAACCTTGCACTTGGCGTCCCTCCTCTTCTCTGCCCGTCTCTGGGCGCCCTCCTGAGCCCAGGAATTTTCGGAAAAGGCCGCCAGCATTTTCTCAGGGCAAACCCTGCAGGGTGCTGCGCGGCCCTCACGGCTGCTCGAGTCCACATCTGCCTGTCCCCGTGGGCCCCGAGACACGGCTCAGTCATTCACGTCCAGATCGAATTCCGGGTACAGCTCTTTGGTGGTGACACCTCGGATCACGGCTGAATGGAAGGGAGGGAACATGGATGTCCGGGCAGAAGCGGCTGCGGGCATGGCCCAAACCCCAGGCTGGTATCACTGCCCTGGCCTCCAGGACCATCGTCGGGCTCTCAGCCGGCCTCACCCCCCCCACCCGCCTGTGAGGGAAAGGGAACCTCTTCACCTCCCCTCAGGCCGCTCAGGGCCCCACAGGGCCAGCCACGCCTCAGCCCTGGCCCCAGGAAGACGCGAGCCCCCAGGAGCGCCGGACTCTCCCAACCCTCAGCCCACAGTGCAGGGTGCAGCAAACCCTGGGCCACGCTGAGGAGCTGGCGTCCCGCGTTTCAGACTCAATCGCCGGCCCTGAGCTTGCTGCTCTGCACAGCCCAGGTGCCAGGTGCCAGATGCCAGTCCTCACCTGTCCAAAAAGCCCTGTGATACACGGCTCTTCGTGTTGTTTTTCTTCCTCAAACTCTGGTCTTTTATTTTATTTTTCGGTACTGGGCATTGAACTCAGGACCTTCCCACTGAGCTACATCTCCACCCCTTTTTAAATTGAGGTAGGGTCTTGCTAACTTATCCACGCTGGGCTTAACTTTGGGATTCTCCTGCCTCAGCCTCCCAGGGCACTGGGATCACAGATGTGTGACAGCAAACAGGGTTTCTTCTTTTTTTTTTTGTCTTTTTGAGATAGGGTTTTGCTATGCACTTTGGGCTGGTCTTGAACTCACAGTGACCCTCCTGCTTCAAGTGCTGGGATTACAGGCATGAGCCACCATGCTTGGCTCATGAGCACAGGTTGTTTTTCTTTTTTTGAGACAGGGTCTCACTATGCAGTTCAGGGTAGCCTTGAGCTTACTTTATAGCCTAGGTTGGTCTCAAACTCTCAATGATACTCCTGCCTCAGCCTCCCCAGTGCTGGGATTACAGGCGTGGGCCACTACCCCCAGCAAGTACAGTTTTAAAGATTTATTCTCAGTTGGGTGTGGTGACCCATGCCTGTAATCCCAGCACTCGGGAGGCTGAGGCAGGAGGATTGTTGCAAGTTCGAGACCAGCCTAGGGTACAAAGTGAGCTCAAGGCCAGTCTGAACTTCATAGGAGACCCTGTTTCAAAAAAAAAAAAGACTCATTCTTTTCTCAGGGAAGGCTGTCTAGGGAGCCTCCTTCAAGCACCTTATCTGTTCCCATCTGCCACTGTATTGGTACTCAGTACTCCCCCCACCGTGGTTCTCTTGTCCTTCAGAGTATTGGAGCTATGTTCATCTACTAACCAACGACAGTGTCCACCACAGCACTAGGACCTAAGCCACACAAGAATCGACCTTCAAGGGTCTGCTTACTGTGAGTCGCAGGCTGGCTTGAGTACATAATAAGATCCTGCCTCAAAAACAGGGGGAGGAGCTGGGGATTTAGCTCAGTGGCACAGCACCTGCCTGGCAAGCGTGAGGTCGTGAGTTCGATTCCTGGTACTGGGAGAAAAAACAAACCAGGGGAATCATACAGGAACTATCACAGAGTCAACAGCTGGGATCTCATCTTATTAAAAAGCCTTTGCACAGCAAGACAAACCACCAACAGAGTCAAGAGACAACCCACAGTGTGGGAACATTTTTGGCCAACTGCTCCTCAGACAAAAGACTAATATCTAGGATATATAAAGAACTCAAAAAAAAAACAGGACCCTCCCCCCTAATTTAAAGACCCAATCCAGGTCGGGCATGGTGGCACATGCCTGTAATCCCAGCACTCAGGAGGCTGAGGCAGGAGGATTTTTGCAAGTTCCAGACCAGCCTGGGCTACAAAGCGAGCGGCATGGTGGCACATGCCTGTAATCCCAGCACTCAGGAGGCTGAGGCAGGAGGATTTTTGCAAGTTCCAGACCAGCCTGGGCTACAAAGTGAGCTCAAGGCCAGCCTGAACTGCACAGCCAGACCCTGTCTCAAAAAGACAAAAAAAAAAAAAAAAAAAAAAAAAAAAAAAAAAAAAGACTGAATCCAAAAAGGGGCATCTGCCGGGCATGGAGGCGCATGCCTGTAATCCCAGCACTCAGGAGGCTGACGCAGGAGGATCTCTGCGAGTTCGAGACCAGCCTGGGCTACAAAGCGAGCTCAACGCCAGCCTGAGCTGCATATCGAGACCCTGTCTCAAAAAGACAAAAATAAAACAAAACAAAAAAAAACAAAAAGGGGCATCTGAAATGAACAGACACTTCTCAGATAAAGTAGAAATGGCAAAAAATATATATAGGAAAAAATGTTCAATAACGGTCATTTGAGAAATGCAAATTAGATTAGAAATGCAAATGAGATTCCATGTCATTCCAGAAAGAATGACTATTATCAGGAAATCAGGGACAGGGACATACCTCAGCGGCATAAGTGCCTGCCTGGCAAGCATGAGGTCATGAGTTCAATTCCTGGTACTAAAAAAAAGAAATCAACAAATAACAAATGCTGGCAGGGGTATGGGGGAAAAAGGAACCTTTTTCCACTGTTGGTGGGAGTGTAGACTGTACAACCACTGTGGAAATGAGTGTGGAGATCCCTCAAAAAACTAGGACTACAGGTCCTCTATGACCCAGCTATTCTCCTCCTTGGTATCCTCCCACAAGAGTTAAAAACATCACACCACAGTGATTGATATATGCACACCCATGCTTACAGCGGCACAGTAATAGCCAAATCTTGGAAACAGCCCAAATGTCCATCAGTTGGTGAATAGATAAAGATGTGGACTGTTTTTTTATACAATAGAGTACTACTCTGCCATAAAGAAGGACAAGCTCAAGACATTCCTAGGTAAATGGATGCACTTTGGAACCATACTCTTTTTTGTTTGTTTGAGACAGGGTCTTGCTATGTAGTTCAGGCTGGCCTTGAATTCACTACATAGCTCAGGCTGGCCTTGACCTAACGATGATGCTCCTGCCTCCACCTCTCAGGTGTTGGGATTACAGGCGTGCGCCACCATGCACAGCTTGTGAGCATACTCTTAAGTGAAATAAATTGGGCACACCTATAAATACTGCATTGTTTCTCTGGTGTGACAAATCAAGAGTGTAAGTAAGGACCAAAATGTACAATAAAGCTGGGTGTGGTGGTGCACATCTGTAATCCCCGCACTCTGGAGGCTGAGTCAGGAGGATTGTAGTGAGTTCGAGACCAGCTTGGGCTACAAAATAAGCTCAAGGCCACCCTGAACTGCAGTGAGACCCCGTCTCAAAAAAAAAAAAAAAAAAAAAAAAAAAAAAGAAGGAAAAATGGAAATAAAACTTTTGTAAATACGCAGGGGAAGAGGGTTGAAGGGAGGTTAGGGGAATGAGAAAAAAAATCAAGTTATATCATGTACAGGTACAAACTCCCTACGATGAATGTGATCATGATGTATACCTAAAATGTACCAATAAACTTAATTAATAAAAAAAGGAAATAGCCAAAATTTAAGACATAGCCAGGCGTGGGGGCGCACACCTGTAATCCCAGCACTCGGGAGGCTGAGGTAGGAGGATTATAACAAGTTCAAGGCCAGCCTGGGCTACAAAGTGAGCTCAAGGCCAGCCTGAACTGCATAGCGAGACCCTGTCTCAAAAAGACAAAAAACCCAAAACAACAAAAAAACAAAATTTAAGACAAACCAAACCAAAAAAAGAAAAGATAAAAAACCCAGGGGGAGCAGAGGCTGGAGAGAAGGGGGGGCGTGGTTTTAGTTAGAGGCGGCAGCGCGCTCTGCTCACCCAGCTTTCCCAGCAGCATCTGCCCCACGTCCTTGATGTCGTTGTACTCGTGCAGCTGGGAGATGTGAGCCTCCAGTTCATCCACATGGTAGCCTCTGGGGGGACGGAGGGAGACAGCGTGGGCAGGAAGTCAGCATGGATCCTGGGCTGGGACAGCACCGAGGCCCCTGCCCGGCAAGTGGTTGCTGCAGGCCTGAGCCCCGGGGACACAGACCGGGGACACGGACCGCAGACACGTGCCTTGTCCTTTATGGGAGGTCCCTAGCGAGGGACTCACAGGCGCACACTGGATCCAAGCAGCCAGGTGGGTGTCCCAGAGCGGGACCGCACGGTCCAGAGCTGCTCAGGTCTTCAGGGGGCGCTGGAGGAGGTGTGGGCGAGCAGCTTCCCACACACTGAAACCACCGCAGAGGAAGCCCGTGGGAGAGGCTGAATGCTGCTCCAGAGCGACACGGGACAGTGACAGAGACAGCCTGCAGCGCGACGGCTTTGCAGTGTTCAGCTGCAGCCTCCACCCAGGTGGACCCCTGCCCTCCTAGAGAGGCTGCTGGGACCCCTGAAGCCAATAGCACAGTTCTGTCTTTTCTGTTTCTTTGAGACAGGGTTTCACTGTGCAGCCCAGGCTGGCCTTGAACTCCGAGCAATCCTCCTGCCTCAGCCTCCAGGGCACTGGGGTTGTAAATCTGGGTCACCACGCCTGGCCCATTTTTTAAAAAATGCCTAGCTAGTGTGACTAGGTTTTAGTTACTAGGCACCACGAAGTATTTTTGTTTTTATTTTCTGCAGCGCTGAGGATGGAACCCGGGGCCTCGTGGGTGATAGGCAAGTGCTCTACTGCTGAGCGACAGCCCCCAGCCCAAAGTTATCTCAACCTCGCTCGGTAGCCTAGTAAGACTTACTCAGATAGTAACTGGGATATCTCCTGGTCCAGCATGTCCATCTTCTCCTTCAGTTTCTGGACGTCAAGGTGCAAGGCCTCCTCGCCGGTCCCATCAGCCTGGCCAGACCTGGGAGATGGCCGCTGAGTGGCAGAAAAAGCCATCAGTCGGACTGGCCAGTTACCTACAATTTGGAGCTTATGGGATGTCTCCAGAGAGTTACTCCTTGCTTCTGCTTGTGTTATGGTTTGTGTCTGTGTGTTCCCCCAAAGCCTCATGTGGCCACGGGGCAGGCTTTTAGAGTTTGAT